GATTGGCTACAGAAAATATAATACAACCAAAAAATCTCATTATAATTTTATCGATTTTATAAAACTTAATTAAACGCGTTTTCTGTGAAAGGAAAAAGATTTAATATTTGACACCAAAAATGTCTTTATAAACTTTCTAAAAATAAAATTTTATTAAAATATATAATATTATAATTAAAAATTAAATCGCAATGGGTTGTAACTTTGACAATATATTCTCTGGCGGCAAAAATAAAATGTATAGAGTATGGAAAATTTATTATTACACTTTAAGAACCATTAAATAAAATATTTGTAAATGTCGCATGTATAAAAAGTTTGTTGGTATTTGTGACTTTTAAATAAAACCAGTTGATTTGCGATGCCGCTTTAATTATAAAATGATTGGATAATTACGTAATTAAATAATTTCTTTTCTTGCACACCTGGATGGAAATATGTGATAATAATCGGAACAATTTACATTCAAAACATGAAAAGCTTAAATTACAGTAATTGTACAAATAATAACCTGTTAACCAATTAATCAATTTAAGCAAACAAAATCCTGATATCTTCAAATTACCTGCATTTACGTGTCATTAGACGCCATAATAAAAAAAATGCCGAGCGAGAAATAAACACCAATCAAAACACAAAAAACAATTTGAAAAGAAGCGCCAAACAAAAAAACCTCCCACTAAAACCACAAAACACAACACAATACGGGCCACGTGAAAGAAAAATTTGTTTTGTTTACAAAAAGATCGCGATTACGGCTCTGGAAGCGGAGCGTCCAACCCCAATTTCAACAAACGTCACGACTCGACTGCAGTCCGACGCAAAATCAGCTCACCGTACTGAAGAACAAGTTCTAAGCGAACAGGGTGGGAGTTCCAGAGCCAACTTGTCTGCGCCGACTGAAATAGGAAATCACCTTTAGAATCACGATGAAAAACAAATTATTTGTATTTTAGGTGGTTCCGGATGGTATTTCGGTGGTCTTTTCATCTGTTCGCAGGATAGTTATTTACTTAAATAGTCGTTAAAATATTTTCAAGTGATTCGTCACACGTGCTGCTAATTAACTACGATTATTTCTTTCTAGAAGAAAACAACTAATTAATAAGATATTTGGAAAAAATCACCGAACTGATGATTTTCAATCATTTACTCATAACATAATGCATCATATACACTGCCCGTCAAAATTAACCGGACAACTAAAATTTTGCGATTTTTCACATTGCAATATTTTTGTTATTCTTTGTCAGATTTCTACGAATTTTAGTTCGGCTTAAAGAACGAACTTTGCAGATTATTGTAACTTAATTCAATAACATTTCCAGTTTTGTCTTGTAAATGTTATACCTAAAAGACGAAAGCACTGTTTTTTTACTATTTTCCATACTGAGCTGTGGTGTGCGGTAGAGACAAACTTAAGTTTTTTCTGATTCCAGATTATTACTCGTTCTTTTCTGAGTGAGGACCAATTTGTTTCAAAATTTTATCTTCTGGTGTCCCAGAGATACAAAGCATTGAAAAAGACGTTGCTTTCCTAATGTTACTAAATATTCGTTCAGAAAGTAGGCTACATAAAAAGGTAGTTAAACCGAAAATTATTGCCTATGGCACCAAAGAAGCACAATTACGTATTTGAACACAAAAAATCTAAAAAACTTAGTACTTCAAAGGATTACAGCAAGAAAACGGTTGATTTTTGGAAACTTCCATGCGCCTATTTTGACGTTTTGCCACATTCGGCCTACTTAATACGAACAATTCATTGAAATTCGAAATGTAATGGTTTTTTGGAGGTTTATATTTCTCATGTCTCAAGAATTAAAATTATGGGAAATGGGGTACATAACTCAGAAAAGAATGGGTAATAATCTAAAATCAGAAAAAACTTAAGTTTGTCTCTGCCGCACACCACAGCTCAATATAAAAAACAGTAAAAAAATGTTATTGAATTAAATTACAATGTTCTGCAAACTTCATTCTTTAATCCAAACAAAAATTCGTTGAAATCCGACAAAGAATAACAAAAATATTGCAATGTGAAATATCGCAAAATTTTAGGTGTCTGGTTAATTTTGGCGGGTAGTGTATTTTAAATGTCAAAGTGCTGCCGCGCCATGCGGCTACCGTATTGACAACCCCTCAACAGGCTGTAAAAAAAGAACAAAAAAAATAAAGATTACGACAAAAGGCACTAATCATGATTAAAATTATGTCCAAGTATTTCTTGTTCGTATGTATATGTATAAATGCCGGATATTTTAACAAACCCTTATTCAAAGAACAATGTATGAAGTTATTGTTTTTCACGATGTACAAGTTGTACGTAAGTAGTTCTAGCACTTCTCAACAATTTATCAAGAATAGCACTCAGTCGCTTCGATTGTTGCACTTTTAAATTACTAGAAGTGTCTGCGATTCCATTGACCCGCATCTTTATTGAAGTGTTAGAACAAAGCGTGTTAGAACCATCGAACTTAGTTATGCATGACAAAGTAAAATAATAAAACCAAAAAAATTCACATGATGTTAATCATAATAAGCGTGTGAAATACATCATTTAGAGTAAGCAAATATTGAATAATGTGATGGGCGGCAAGAGAGCTCTATTTGAACAAATGTGGAAAAACAATATAGCGATATTTGAACATTTTGTAAGCATTTATTGTTTTTGCAAATTATAACAGAGGCGGAAGAGTTAACTGATTGTCAATTTTGTAGAATAAAAAAGCAAAATGCTTAGAACACAGTAAATGTTTATGTGAATAGAATGTAAAAAAGAAAAAAAGAAAAATACACCATTTTTTCCCTTCCTCTTCTGTTTTTAGGTCTTGTACGTGACTTCACACAAAAATTGTCACCGTGAGTTTTTAATAATGTCAGGAATTAGTTCCGACAGACTATCCATTCAAAAGTTTTATACCACCTGGCCACCGTAAGGGATTGGATTTGTAAATGAAAGAGGTTAAATGGATTTGAAACTGCAAATGACTAGTGTGATAATGATAAATTTATGGTGGCGGTAGGTACCTGAAGGGTGCAACTTCAAAGCGTTCCATTTTTGTTTCTTGTCGGATTTCTAGTTATGTCAATGACGAAGAAATCATCATTTTTGAATCGTTCGACGGCTGTTGGCGTGTCTATTCATAAGTTTTAGGTGTCTAAGCCATAGCTAAGGAGTTTCTTAGTCGTTTTTGCATGATGTTATAAGTTACAACCATCCCGCGCTGAAAAAAGAAGAAGCAATAAGTAGTAGTAAGAGTTTACCTTAATAAAAATGTTGCTAAACGAATAGATACATTTTTAGGTAATTCTTTTAAAAAATGTTTGGAAATGTCAAAAACGTTGAAAATTTCAAATTTGACATTTCGCCACAAGGGTAGGTTTATGAGAAAGGGGTGGGGATGGAATACGCTCTTGATGAATTAACGTAAAGATTGTTGTAAAAGTTGTAAGCACGCTGATTGGTCAACTTGAAGTCGGCCATTAAAATAATGCCCGAAACCATAGTGACACCAATCACTTGAGATTTTTGTATTCATTCAAGAATTGAATGTAATTGATAATGTAAAATACTCTTAATTGAATTTTTAATGAAAATAATATAGACTGTGATTGGTCCGATTGCAAACGACCATGATGATGATATGACAAACCAATCACTTTAGAAACTTTGGTTAATTTAAAAATTTTATTTAATAATATATTTTATTGAACCATAATAAAGATAATTAAAAAATAACATTGCCAATAATTGTAAACACTTAGAAAATTATTTCGAAAGTACTTCGCCAATACAGTCCCAAAATTCAAACATCATTTTTGAAATCAATATTATATTGATAATATACAGGGTGTTTCACATAATTTTACGAGGCCTGCGCCTGTAAGATGCAATCAAGAATACATATTCCGTTACGAACTCGATTACAAATTTTGAAAAATTGTATAATTTTCTCTAGTTTGTTCACCCTTTAAAAAATTACAACGTTTTTAGTAAGTTAGTGATTAAGATAGATAAACTAGAATCATATTCATGCCGTTTCTTGATAGAACAAATGACAATTGTTCCTGAAAAACTGCAGTTTATCATTATTAATCAAACAGTGATTAGTTTGACAACTACTGTCACGGGTTTCCAAAAATTAAATAGTTAGAAGTGTATTTTTTGTATCTAGTGTTTTGTGACTTTTGTATATTTGGCTGCGTACATTAGACGCAAGCCTCGTAAAGTTATGTGAAACACCCTGTACTGATATTATAAGAAGAAAGATAAAAAACAAAAAGAAGATAAGCCTGAAGAGGTGATGACAGACGTTATGAAAGAGATTGTAGCGAAGAATGAGAAGAATGGAATGGAAAAGAAGAAAGGGAAAGCTGATGAGGATAAAGATGAAGTATACAACGCTGAAATGCTTGAAATAAAAACTAAAGAGAGACAGGGAAGTAAGAGAGAACGGAAGGCCTAGGCGACATCTACCGGTTTGTAACTACGATGAGAGGTCTTTATGAGTACTAAAAAAGAAAACTTGATTACCTTTACCAGTTTTTGTATGTGTTAACTAACAAAAAAGTATATATTTTTTTTTGATAAATCGATAAAATTATTGATAAATAAGCACAGTTTGGATTTTATTTGTCTTCAATGAGATAAAATAATATGCAGGCATGGGCCTCTTCTCTTTGAAGTGATAGAAGTTGCTGCTAATAAACTAAATATATAATAGTAATAAAATAACTAAAAAACTTCGTATTAAGAAAAAAAAATTAATTGTATTTTATTAACCCCCTTTGACAAAAAAAAGTCTGTAAGCGTCCATGTGTACAGGCACCTGGTTTTGAATTTGCGAAACTTTTTCAGAAATTATGTGTAAAATTCTAAAATTGAAAAAAGAAAACATTTTATTTCTGAATTTCGGCAACCAATTATACACATGCGACAAAACAAAAATAAATAGGAGATTGCGCTGTAGTTTCCAAACATTCATTATTAACTTTGACAGTTAACCTTACTTTTTTAAATCGTTTATTGTCAAAATATTTGAATTGTTTAAGTGCAGCGTGATGTGAAAAATGAGTGCTGAGGAAACACGGACAGAACCGAAACCGGTTTTCAAAACCGCATCTTTTTATCACAACTCGAAAACAAATGTTAAAAAACGCGCTTGGAAATCCCTGAAACAAATCATTTCTACTGAAAAGGCACTACCATGGCCTGAAAACGTTGTTCATTACAGTTCCATAAATGCACCTCCTTCATTTAAACCAGCTGAGAAATTCTCAGATTTGTCTGGCTTACCAGCTCCATATACTGATCCTCAGACAAGACTGCGATTTGCAAATAAAGAAGAATATGCCACACTTATAGGACTTCCAATGGACATTACAGCTGGGTATTTAGCTTTAAGAGGAGCAAGTAGTATTGTAGGGTAACAAAAAGAATTTAAATTTAAAACATTTTTATTTATGAGTATCATTAGGTAAATAAATTATTCAACCATTATTTTACTGGCGGGCGACTTTAAAAGCGCGGCAAAATATAATTTATCTGTTTTACATATTTGCCAGTCATAAGTTACTTGCTTATTACATGTATCAATATTAACTCTTACTTTATCATCATTGATTAATTCACACATAAAACAAATCTGAAAAATAAATTTTATTCATTTTACTCTGAATTGTGTTTTTGTTACTTTTAATCCTTTGGCAGCTTCAGGTAACTTGGTAGACTTTTTTACACCATCAACATAAATTTCACCAGTGGTATCAAGAGCAAAATAGCTGTGACTGCTTGACTTAATTTCTTTAATATCAGTAGCATCCTTGGCGGCAACTAATGCAATAGTAGAACATTTATTATCAAACTCTAAATACTAAACAAAATTGTTAATTAGTTACATTTTACAGGAGACCCAATAAACTTACCGAAAACTCAACAGAATATCCAACAGCAAATTGTGGTCCATCAGACAGTAATAAAGATGGCATTTCTTTTACAGGTGTGGCAATTTTATTGCCATCAGCAAAAACAAAATCTTTGTTACTAGCCCAAGAGAATGGTTTGATGGTTGTTTTAGTGACTTGAGGCAAAGACCATGGACTCCAATCACTTGAGCCTTCAAATTTACAACAAACTCTAAAAGAATACAACTGATTGGGATGTAAATCCTTCACTAAAAACTGCGTTTCTGCTCCCACATAACAATCAAAAAAATTTGTTTCCAAGTGTTTCTCAGAAATAACATCACCGAATGCTCTCTGCAATCGAAATTCTTGAATATCAACACAACGCTCATCATCTACACTTTGCCACTCTACCAGAACAGCACCAGGTTTTTCTACAGTTTGGCTTATCTGAAAAATATAATGAAATCATGATTAGTTGTACTCAAGTAGTTTACTTGAACTGGTGCAATTCTGGAAACGTCTCCAAATTGAGAGCAAATGTCCAGTAATTCTGATTCTAAATTTGGTTCATAATGGAATGAGATAAAAGGCACTTCTTTGAGCTCTGGTATTGCAGGAAGACTTCCAAGAAAACTTGATTTTTGGCTGAATTCATCCAAGTTTTCTCTACTACTATTTAATAAAGACTGACCCTCTCTTATAAGTTTCTTGGTCTTTTCAATATTACTAAAAATATCAGATCTACTTGCTTCTAAAGGGGCTAAGCTTTGTTTCCTTGTCTAAAATGATTTATCTTTATTTTAAGTCAATTAGATTTCCATACCCACTTTTTGTACTTTTCTAATTAGAATATCCTTACGATTTAACAAAATCTCCGTCAGGTTAGTTAAAAGATTGCTGAAAGTGGTTTCAATGTTTCTCTCTGATTCTTTGGAAGTGTCGCAAATTTGTTTTTCCGCATTTTCGAGCTGTTTGTTTAAATTTTCTAAGTGATTTAAATACGACTTTGCCGCGTTTAATGTTTCTACTACTTCATTCTTATCGCCCATTATTAGTAAATAAGTTATTTGATTATTAGTGATTATTATAACCTCAAAAGTCAAAATGGAGATAAATGAAATGACATTTGAACATTTGGGTGGGTCATGCGCTCGAACTATATTCGGGTTTAAAAAAAATCGAAAATAAATAAAAAGTACATTTTTGTGTGATGTGTTAAGATTTTTGAAAAAAGATTCTACTATATCAATTATAAGCAGTTATGTAATAATATATCGTCAAATTTTAAATTAGTGCCCACGAGATGTAGGCCAAAGATGTAGCATACATTATGAATTTTAAAGCGCATGCGTATTCGAGATGTGTCGCTGTGCAGTAATGTCGACGTTTAGCATATGAAAATTTCGAAAAATCTCTATAAAATCTTGAAGAGATTATGGTTAATCGGCCACAAACCTTCGCCGATAAGTTTGTGAAACGAATGTAATAAATTTCGTTTGGAAAAGTAAGTGTTTTGTTAGTGATAAGTCGTGATTTTATGTGTATTGATTTTGGGTTCGTTGTCCTCGTCGACGGTCGGTTTTAAGCGCGGGAAATTCAAAGTTGTCGGTATCGGCGATCGATTTGGTCGAATTTGGACGTGATGCGGTTCAAACCCGGACCTGAGTGACTTGTGTGAAGTTGTTCTATTTTTATTGGTGCGGTTCGAGGGAATTATTGCCAATTTCGGACAATCCGAACGGAACTGGAAAGTGTGACGTTAATCTTAACACTATTTTTACCAAATTCCGCACAAGAATAACCGGCGCTTCTTTCAAAGGAATTTTCACGTTATTTAGATCCAATTTCAGGTCCTGTTAATGCGAAAATTCGTCGGATGCATCTTTTTAACTCTAATTCGAGGAAAAAGGATTCATCCTGTCGTTTCTGAGTGCCTGATGAATGATTAAGACTTGTGTGAATGGAGACAGAGTGTGTTGGTCCTAACAGCAAGCTTTTGCACTAACTTTTCTTTGACAGCAATGTCAATCGACCGAGTTGCCGTTATAAACCACATGGCTTTTGTTGTCGCGCTTGCCATGTGGTGCGTAACATTGGTGGTTTCGGTAACACCTGATAACGCGTGTCGTGATTCTAGCGTGGCCGTGACTTGCTCACCGACGCGCGATCGTACCCCCACGGCCCCATTCTCGGATCTTGGCAGAAAACTACCCCCAGATATACGCGCTCGTTGACTCCACACGGACTTATCTACATCTAGCGGGACACGTAAGTCCGCGATATTTCGTTGCTCGCGAAGGATACATGCTGGTTTTCCAACAGGATGTCTTCCAGAAGGCGGAGTCGTAGCAGAGAACGCTCAAAAAATTCAAACGCCGGGTCCAAATTGAGAATGGACACCAAACCACAAACACCTAGAATTACAGGTACCAACAGTAGAGTAATCTCACAGTTTTCTTAGGAGTAATGTACACTGTTCAGCAAATTTGTTATTGTATAAGTGTAATTTTATAAGAATATCAGCTTTCTTACAAGGTGGGAATAGTTTTCTGTCCAGAAAGAAAATTTGCGAATATATTTTTTGACAAGGGGTTAAGGGTGTCGATACATGATTGAAAACTTTTAATTTACAAACACGTACTACTCATTGTATAATTTTTTGATTGATCATTATAAAATCATTTAATTTACGAGCTATTTAACTAACCATTAGCATAATGCCTCAGATAAGATTGGTTTATTTAAAATTAAATTTTATCGAAATTGTTAAGTTTTAAGTCAAAAAGTCTCAAAAATATCTCTTATTATGCAACAGATTATTTGGAGTATTTCCAAAGTCACAATTTTTGTTTCTTTGTGCGAAGTGTAATATTTTTCTCATTTTATGCGAATTTTATCGATTCAACTTCTTCCCCTTTTATAATAAAATTATTTAATTTGTTAATACAAAGGAATGAATTGATTTTTTTTCAGATCCTAGTTTACCAGCTGGTCGAAGACGTGAGATTGACACCGTAATGAAAAAGGCACGTGCATCACCGAATTCAAATGCTTACTGGGATAAAAAGTTATTAGAAGTTGAAGCAAAAGATCCGAATAGGTAAGAGTAATAAGGCACCAAAGCAATACTTCCCAACACTATCTAACACCTAAATCCAACATTAGACGAAAGTGGGTGCATTTTTATCATTTTTTAAGGTACTGACTGAATTTAAAATTCATTTCAATTATTATTGGAGGGATTTTTAGAAATTACCATTTGATGAAATGTCTACCAGTTTTACGTATAATCATAATAATATTTTTCAAGCACCAAATTATGAAAATTTGATGTGTCTGTTTTATACCCTTGCATACAGGGTGCGCCAGAACTCGCGCCCCAGAGAAAAATGTCTAGTGCCGGCGGCAATAGGTCGCCAAAAAGTGCAGCCGAAGAAGTAACTTTTGCTTGCATAAGAAAGTTATTCGACTCTTAAATCCACCAATTCCAGAAGGGCACCTCAAGGTGTGATTAAAAAATTATATCGGTTGCTAGGTTACGAAAATAATACCAATTTGGCCAGAATTAAAAAAAATAGCTGGTCTACTGTAATTTTGCGTTTGACATTTATCGTGATGTGGGTGACGTAACCTGTTAGTTTCCAGTATTTTTCTCGCTGAAGAGGTTGTACACGAGTATAATGAGACAAAATCGTTAATTATTATCAACAGTTATCGAAAATTATTTTGAAACATTCGGGAAACTTCTGATGAACCAACTTCTCTAAAACTTCTTCACAGGTATTGTTCCTTCTCAACTTTTTCTTCGATCTGATACAGATTAACAAACCGATAAATGAATTTTAGAGCTTGAAAACACTAGTTTTAGTAATGCACTAGCATTATCCTTATGAAACAAAGAAGCAAGTGAGAGTGAGAGACCAGAAAAACATGAAGAAGTACGCAAGTTTCTTTATTTACTTGAATGCAAAATTAACAGAAAAATGTACTTTTTAGAAAGGGAGTCACGTTATGTTGAAATTAGTTGATATTATTGACAAACCACATGATTCCCCAGAAGACCAGCCCACAAATTCACCAAAAAGCGTTGCTGAAATGCCCTCGAAATTAAAACAATAGCAAAAATGCTAATTTTTCGTACTAAATACAAAAAACATCGCAACATTCTTCTAGATTTTTTAATGAAAAAGCAGCCAAGGGGTTATAGTAAGTTCATGTGAGTGGAAGAAAACAACAATAAATTGTTGTTGAAATTTTGAGGTTAGAATTTCTACTGGGCAAGAATGCCTAAATACGAGAGTAAAACTACAATTTTGATATTAAAATTAGTAACCTGTTTTATTTAAGCACAATTTCTTATAAAAAGAACATTTTTCTGTTAATTTTGCATTAAAGTAAATAAAGAAACTTGAGTACTTCATGTCTTTCTGGTCTCTCAGTTTCACTAACGTCTGGGAACAGCGATAACCGTGGTGTCACCTTGAAAGAATAGGGGGTTGGTCTAGCGTCCGTGCCCGGCGATCACAATTGCTTCTTTATTTCAAAAGGATAATGCATTAGTTTTCAAGCTCTAAAATTCAATATCGGCTTGTTAATCCGTATCAGATCGAAGAAAAAGTTCACAAGGARCAACACCTGTGAAGAAGTTTTAGAGAAGTCGGTTCATCGGACCAGAATGTTTGGGAATCGAGTTTTCAAAATAATTTTTGATAATTGTTGATAATAATTAACGATTCTGTCTCATTATACTTATGTACAACCTCTTCACCGAGAAATATTCGAGAAAAATACTGAAAACTAGCCGATTAAGTCACTCACATGACAGTTGACAGAAAATTAATAAATTAAATGTGAAAATTACAGTAGACCAGCTATTTTGTAAAGTTCTGGGCAAACTGGTATTATTTTTGTAACCTAGCAACGGATATAATTTTTCAATCACACACTGAAGTGCGCTTTTGAGATTGGTGGATTTAAGAGTCGAATAACTTTCTTATGCAAGCAAAAATTACTTCTTCGGCTGCACTTTTTGGCGATCTATTGCCGCTGGCACTTGACATTTTTCTCTGGGGGGCGAGTTCTGGCGCACCTGTATACGAACTACATAAATTCCCTATTGCATATTATTTCTCTCTTATGTACCAGGGTTGTTTGATAAATGTGGTAAAATTCCTAGTTAAAGAAAAATTTTTTGGTAACAATAATTTTTATTTTTCAATATAATCTTCATTAAGATCTATGCACTTCATCCAACAATTTTCTAATTTTTTTAACCCATCGGAAAAAAAAGATTTTTGTTTGAATGAAATCTGTCTTCACCAAGCAAAATTTAGATTTGGATGTAGCTAGAAGTCACACGGTGCTAAATCTGGTGAATAGGGTGAATTTGGTTCTAATTCAAATAATAATTTAGTGAGTGCTGAAATCTCCCTTCGGGAGACTAGTCAACAATCGCGGCACCTATCTTGCACAATTTATTTTCATATGCAATTTTTCATGAAAGACAAATGTACCCGTTTAGTGGAGATGCCTACAATTTCAGCAACTTCCCTAACTTTCACCCGGCGGTCTTCCAAGACAATTTTGTGGATTTTTTCCACAATTTGTGAAGTCATGACGTCGACAGAGCGCCCACAGCGCGCTTCATCTTGGGTAGATGTTTGACCCCGTTTAAATTCGTTTATCCAGAAATAGATAGTTTTCAACGAAGGTGCAGAGTCTTCATATACTTCCTCTAGTTCTTTTTTACCTGAGCGGCTGTCCATTTTTTAAATAAAAATGTTTTATTACAGCGCAAATTCTTTTTTTTCAATTATCGAAATTTGTTCATACAACTTATTTTTAAAATTTTCTATTTGTTTCAACCAGGAATCACTTTTTGTTGAAACTCTGACATACTTACTCTGAAAGATGACATACAGTGCCGGCCAAAAGTAAAGAAACAATTGAATTTTTTATTTATTTTTCATATAAATATGAGAACGAAAACGATTTATGTGCACTAGACTTACTTTTCCTTAAGATATTTTTTTATAAGCTTTTTGGTCAAGTTGGTTTTTGAATACAGTGAACTTACTTACTATTTTGATAAGGACAAAAGTAAAGAAACATTTTCATTTTACCTATTGCAAAGTTAAATACAACGTCGGTGCAAAACAGTTCCTACAAAAATTGTTCTTTAATTATGCCTAAAGGAGAACAACTGTCTCAAGACTTGAGAAAAGTAATTATAGACAAATTTGAGGCGGATGAGAAACAAATTGACATTGCCAGGCTGTGTTGTATCGAAAACAATTGCCTTATTTAAAAAAAGAAAAACTTTAGTAAAAAAAAAGTGGAAGACCGCGTAAAACGGATAACGTGACTGATAAAAAAATTTAAAGAATTTCTCAAAATAATCCATTTTTATCTGCTGTTAAAATAAGACAACAAATTCCAAATGTGGGTATATCAGTGAGGTCCATTCGACGAAGACTGAATGAATTTGGACTCTACGGGCGAAAACCAGCAAAGACACCGTTTATTTCTGCCAAAAATAGACAGCGCAGATTGGAATTTGCTAGAGAGCATTTAAATTGGTCACCTACTCAATGGAAAAATGTGTTATTTTCCGATGAATCAAAGTTTAATCTGCATAGCTCAGACGGAATTCAGTGGGTAAGACGACCAAAACAGGAAAGATTTAATCCTAAATACACAAAAGGGACTTTGAAAACATGGTGGTGGCAGCGCTATGTTTTGGGGTTGTTTTTCCGGTCACGGAGTAGGACCACTCTACGTTATTGATGGAATAATGGATAGATTTCTTTATCTTCGTATTTTAAGAGAATAAATGCTTCCTTTTGCTGAAGATAATATGCCACTGAGATGGACTTTTCAACACGATAATGACCCCAAACATACAGCCAAAGTTGTAAAAGATTGGATTTTAAAGGAACAAATACCTGTAATGCAATGGCCTGCTCAGAGTCCCGATCTCAATCTTATTGAGAATCTTTGGGACCATATTGATCGTCAATTAAGAGAAGAAAACAGTCGAGGTTTCAATTCAAAACAAGAATTAATCGAAGCCGTAAAAATAACGTGGGAAAACGTAAGCTTAGAATATATTAATAAATTAATCGATTCGTTGCCGAAAAGATGTGCTGAGGTAATTAAACATAAAGGATTTGCAACCCATTATTAAACTGTAACATTTATATGTAATTATAGATTTATTGTTTCTTCACTTTTGTCCCCTGAAAAAATAAAATAAATTTTTCATTCAACAACAACTGTTTAATTCTTACTAAATTCTGTAAAATATATTTAAGAATAACCCAACAAATTACTTGTAATAAATTATATAAAAATCAAATACACCTACAATGAAATATTTAATATTCGCAAATGTTTCTTTACTTTTGGCCGATAGTGTATCTCACTTGCGGTTCGCCAAATTAATTGACGCACGTGGTCATAGTTTTTTACCACACATATCAAACAACCCTCATATAACATGTTTAAAAACATGTTTTCATTGATTAAAATTGCTTTTCAGTTCAAAATCTTCACATTCCAATGGAAATTAGATTTCTTGAGATTCTGAAATGTAAATTACATGAGACAGTGATTACAGTGAAAGAGCACTTACAGTTTTAGTCGGATCAAATTTTCGTAATATGGTACTTCAAAAAACGTTTATACGAAAAAGTAAGACCGATAGAAACAAACTAGTTTCAAATTTTTTTGCATAAAAAAAAATCAATGGCGAACGGGAAAGTGCTAATAGAAAAACCCGAATATAGTCAAAAAAGGTTATAGAAATTCAAGTGTGGTTGTTCCAAAATTTCTCCAATAAGAACAAACACCCTTTTTCGTGTAAAACAAGTGAAATTTCTTGGACAGTGTAATTAATTTGGGTTTGGATGAATTCTATCTTTGTGACAAACATCGTTTCGTAGGTGGCGTCATAGCGGTTACAAATCGCTGTACATTGACGGTTCTTCATCGCCGTCGTCTGGACATCGAAGTCGTTCAAGATCTCCGACCGGTCGCAGATCGCCCCCTCGCCGTTCGCCAGTTGGTCGTCGATCGCCCCGCTCTCCAATCTCACGTCGTTCGCCTCGTTCACCAATCACTCGTCGATCGCCTCGTTCGCCGCCGCCGCGTCGTTCTCCCATAGGTCGCAGGTCACCGATTTCGCGTCGTTCGCCCGTCGCTTATAGCCGATCGCCGGTCGGTCGTCGTTCTCCGCCTCCCGCAACGCGTTCCCGACCTGCTCGACCTCGTTCGCCGCCACCACACAAAGCCTCCGGTTCTGGACGACGATCAGCGTCGGCAAGTTCAATCAGCAGCTGTTCGGACGATTCGTGTTCGGTGTGTTCGCCAAAGAATCATCGACATCCGAGGTCGAGGTAAGAACAACATACATATTTCTAAAGAGCGGCCTAAAATGGTCACAGATCTCGTTCGTTTTCGGTGCCACGATCTCGGAAAGGACAGGCAAAGACCGCGTCGCCGGCGCTCAAGTCTCGAGTTCGTCCTAGACCCCCTTCGCCGTCTCCGTCGCCTCCCAGGCGAATGCCGAGGCCGATGACGCCGCCGCCAGCACGGAAACCGCAAAAGACGAGCTCGTCGGATCGACCGACGGATCCGAGGAGGCAACCGCCCCCTCCAAGGCCTCGAGGGAGGACAGGAGAAGTGATCGATGTTACTGGAGTAAAACCTCCCATGAAACCTGCCAGAAAACCGAAGGAGAAAGGATCTGAACCAGTTAGAATAACGAGTACGGAATTGTTCTCTTTAAAATCGTCTGTGGTTGCAGGTTTTGTTAACTAGAATTAAAAAGGAGAGGACGAAGAAGAGAACGGGATCTCCGGGAGAGTCTTCAGGTTCGGAAGATAGCGATACTTCTTCTACTTCACCAATCGTTGCCACCACAAGATTGACTTTATCAGAAAGATTCGGGAAAATCGCTCAGTGGAGTGCCGATAGAGAAAGACGTGACATTGAAAATATGAGAATTACAAAGACAGGAGGTGATCTCAAGGTTATGATAGAAGGAGAAGATTATATTTATGGAAGTCCGCCTCGAAGATACAGGTAAATTAAAATGAAAAAGTTTTGAATTTGCTATTGTTTTTATAGTTTGTCGCCAGTTCCGGCTGGTCATTATCCGGACGAGCTTCTATCTTCGGGTCCGTCAAGACTGGCAGCTTGGGACGATGTTAGAGTGCGATACCAGTATTATAAAGATCTTGGATATCTTCGAGATTTATCGTTGGATGATTACATCAAGTGGGAAGAATGGTGGTATAAATATCAAGATTGGCTTACAAACGAAAGACACTATGAACACTGGCTTAGTACTCAAAGACGCCGCAGGAAACGGCTTCCTGCCACACAAAGATTGAATTAAGAAATTTACGATATAATATAACAAATTTAACTTGGGTTTTTTTCGACATAGTGACAAGAACAACTGGTTATGTGATAACTTTAATTTTTTGCTGTTTGACATATCTCTTAAGTTAGGTAAGTATATCCTTCTAATTTTTTATTTTGTTAAGGCAATTGATTTATTTAAAATAATTTATTGTATTCTTTTTCTTTTTTAAATTGTACATTATTATAATTGTATCAAATTAATTGAATAAAATAAGGTAGCGCCCATACATGTTTTACTTGGAAATAAAATTTATTGATAAGTAAAATCTCAGTTTATAAAAATACAAAAATATGTTAATTGTGGTACTGATCATCTTTACTCTTGAATCTCTTTGTTCTTCGGACGACATCAGTTTTAAACACATTACTGGAATTTTCTAATTTGTGTCCAAAGCAGGTATCATGTTCCGTACATGCTTGTATAAACCTATTCCACTTGTGATCCGTCCTTAAAACTGGCGTGTTTCCGATAACAATTAATTTACTAATCGCTCGTGAGATGGCCACGTTAAATCTCTGTAAAACCGTGTTAAAAGAGAAGTTAACCATGATGAGCCATACCTGATCATTCTTTACAAAACCCAGATTATATTTACGATCATGCAACAGCAAAGAATGTTGCGCTCTGACTGTACTAATTATTATGATTCGTTTCTCGCGGCCTTGGAAAGACTCAGTTGTGCCAACTTCCACATCTTGATATCCTTTATACATTAATTCTTCTTTGATTTTAAATACCTACAAATATTTGTTACAGCTTACACGAGAAAATGAGTGTAATTACACAATACTTGACGTTTGTATGGTGTAACCACTCCGATTTGGTCTAGTCTAACTTTGTATGCTTCCACAAGAGGTAGGTTTACTAAAGCCCTTACATATTTTACAACCATTTCAGCTTCAGGTAAATTGAAAAAACTGAAATTTATATCATTTGTAGAGCGCGCAAGAGTAAACGGTTATGTACCTTGGCGACGAGCCTTCTTTTTGCTCTTTAGCACTAATTGCACAAAATTCAATTGCTTGACCCTGATTGTTACACGATGATGCGATTTTTGGATATATGGGAATGTTCGCAATTGGGTCCTGTTGTGCGATTCTGGACACCGGCTAAAAACTTAACAGTGCAAAATAATCAAAATTTGAAAGAATATACCTGTAATAAATCATTGTAGAACAAATTGTTCGGAATTTCTAAAATTCGGGGATGTGACCTGAAATTCAATCTGAGCATGGTTATGAAATGGGTGTCGTAGCTCCTGGTTGTGCGGTTGATTTGGTAGACTTCATATTCCATCAGTCTCTCTAACAACGATTTACCCAGGCCAAACTTTTCGGCAGATTTTGTTACCATTGGGCCTAACTGTTTAGGATCTCCTGCTAGGACCACTTGCTTACCAACACCTGCAAGTGCAATCGCAATATCAGATTCAGGCTCGCTGGCTTGAGCCGCTTCATCTATAAAAACACAATCAGGACGAAAGTCTTTGGCGTAGCGACCAATGAGAGTTAAGGTTGTAACCACAATTCTGTACGACAGGAGCTGATCAATTGCAATTTTTGTAAATTCGTCATCTTCCATGTTACTATAATCTTTCAATTCTTCTGTGATAGTGGTTCTGAAAATAATGTTATATTGGAAATACCGGAATGTGTACATTGAACCTCTCTCTAGTAGAAGAATTAATTCGTATCAATTCTTGTGTGGTACAATGAGCAATAAGTTTTATTGCCAACATATCACAGGCGGAATTTGCGGGCGCACACACAAGTATTCGCTTTTTTGTGCGTTTTTTAATCTGTAAAATAGCTTCCACTATAGTTATGGTTTTGCCAGTCCCGGGAGGCCCGAAAACGATATAAGGAATGTCCTGAATGTTGTTGACGATTTTATCAACTGCATTTTTTTGCTCTGGGTTATTTGCAATTGTCTTATTAAACAATCTGAAATCGTTAATTACTAAATTACTAATGAAATATTTTATTAACATACTGCGAGTTATCTAATGGATGTACATTTGTTGACCTCGGAAGTCTCCTTTCAACAGGAAAAAGTTTCGCTACTAAACCTGATGATACGATTTTATCGACTGCCGCATGCATTCTCTCAAATGCTAATCGACTCATCATAAACGCAACATCCAATTCAATATTTGGATTTTCCCGAATGTACTCCAACAATCTGCAGAAAGGTGTTGACGATTATTTTATTTTGTTAGTTGTTGGTAATTACTCATCATCCACGTGAGATATTTCCACAGTTTTCTCGTTAACTGCTCCAACAAATCCCTTGTAGGCAGTGTGATCGTTGGTGATCCTAATCCTAATAAAATCACCTACTATGACAGACGGTCGTTTTTCAGCCAAACCCGGTACCACAAGAATTAAAACATCATCATCTCTGAGAGTCATTGTTACCTATTGATAACACCAGTAACCAATTTTTAATCGTAGATGAAACTTACTGCTTGCATGTTGAACTTCATGAGCATCAAAGCTTGAGCTCTTTCTTCTAACCACAAAACCACGTGCCAAAATCGGTTGTAGTTCTCTTTTGTTAAATGGGAGACAAGTTGACTACACATTAACTTGTGTGAATAATTGGCCAAAACTCAGTTTTTTCCTTACCTGAGAGAACGTAAAGTATCTTCTTCAGTTTGCTTTATTCCAGTGTAAGAACCAATACCGTACGTCAAAATTTTCATATACTTTCGAGGAATTGGATATTTATCTTGGTAGGGACTAAAAGTTTTGTTTTATAGACTTTTTCTATTACTGACTACACTTACAGTTCTTTAGTTGTTGGAACTGTCTTAGTGACGTCTTTCCAAGATTGCGATGTAAATGGACTCTTACCCTTCTTTTCATTTTTTTTGCCTTGAGCTTCAACTATTGTTAACTTAAAGCACTGTTAAAAATGGTTCATCATTGTTATTTCTAACTTACAAACGACCGAACTATCGTAAACGATTTCTCCTTTTTGTCAATGGTTTCAGTTTGAATATCACAAGTTAGGGGGATTTTATAACTGGCTCTTGCTAAAATGTCTGTTTGAAATTTCACTCTGAAGGTATACTGTTCACCTGAACTTTGACACAATTAGATAAAATAACACAAAATTTATTGTTAACCTTGTTGAAGGCGTATAAAAGAACTACGGTCTTCGCCAAAGACATGTGGATGTATGGCGTTAAAATAAGATGAGGGATGTATTATATTTGTACTCGTAATGTAAATAGCATCATGTCTTGCATTTTGAATTGTGCATTTGTAAGTTATTGTACTGTTATGTAATCTTAGTTGTTCTGGAGAGACCTGAAATTATTCGCATAAACAGGATAAAACTACTTTAAAGGAAATCGTACCTTTGTTGTATACTTTCCTTTGTAATACGTAAAATCGAACTGAAAGTTATTTAAAGGTTCTGGTGTTACATTTAGACGAACACCATGTCTGTCACTTATCAGAGCTTTTCTGAAACGATTTTTGTATACTTTTATATTTTAATAAGATTTTTAAAAGACAACAGGCATATTGATTGCTTAATGGTTTAACTAGACAATTGATTTTCCGTAATATTTTTTATCAAAAACTACATTGATACATTTAGATAAAGGGACAAAAATCCTAGCAGATATTATTTTTTTAAGGAAAATGTAGAAACTGTCTTGCATTTAATACTCATGAGGTACTTACCTGTACTCATTATAGCTGAATTTTGCGAAATAAAATTGATGATTTAGTGTTTGATTGTGTTGGCTGTTTTCTCTAAAGTCATTACAGATGGGACAACGTAATGCCTTTAAACAAATTCTTTTAAACAAATTCCATAAGAGTTTTTACAAGACTTACTTCATCATCCATGGCATTCAAAAGTCTCAGGGGAATCCCTCTAGTTCACAATCTCGCGTCGCGATAAACTAAACATTCTGTGACGAATGAGTACGAAAATCGATCACGAAACGATTTAAGTAAATCGTGATAACGAAATAAAAATGTAGATACGATAAAAAACAAAAGATATGACATGAAGCACAATAAATAGTTTAACGAACCTAAACAATGTTAAAATTCATTCCGTGAAATTTATCAACTTACACTACATACATACATACTTACTAACTTAGACGTTCATACGCGATAACTGTGCTTGCTCATGTGCAGTTTTTCTCTAAATTCAATGTCATCATGTGTATTGAAATGTTGGTTGCCTCTTGACTGCTTATTTCCTCATTAAAAATTAAGACTCACTTTACATAAATAATAATTTATTATTTTTGTAGTCGTAGGGCTGTAATGTGTAGGAGTTTAGTATTGTTAGATCATAAAATGAGCTCAAATTTTTGATAGGTCGTCTTTGGTGGTAATATCTTGATTGTTCATTGAAATGCATGATTCATAACTTTATTATTCACACTATCAGTTTATTTTATCAGCTGACGATCATAAACGTTATTTATCCGACTGCTCGTCGGATAAGATATTAGTGTTGGAAACTTCTTTCATTTCATCCAACTCGAGGGTATGAGGGCTAAACCATATAAATTTTTTTAAATGCTTGGTTTTGCTGTTTTTTTATAACGAATGATAGAAAATTTATTATTTTTTGAACGCAATATATTTTATAAATCGTTAAATATAACAATATTACGTAAAAACAATCATTTCAAGTTTGTACTACAAAGTAACAGTATATATTTTCGTATATGTATAATATATGATATATTTTATAAATTACATCAATGCAAATATGGTACAAGAACGATTATTATAAATTTATGAATACTGCAAGTTGATCTTTGGGATATGTTAACAAATAAAATTATCTTCGAAAAAGTCAATAAATATTATCAGATATGAGAAACATGATAGAGACAATTTTATAAGTACATTATCCATTAGTTAAGTACGTATTATATTTCTTCTTTTTAAATATAATTAGCTATCATTTTTAATTTACTAATATTTGTTAATAACAATAAAATTAATAAACTTTAATAAATTATATAAACATATTAATATAATAACATCACAAAAATCGTCATTAAGGCAAAGTATAACATCTTTGAGAAATGTTTACATAACAAGACTGATGGGGTCGTAATAAACTCTTTTCAAGAAGTGACAACAAAAACAATAATAATTTACATACCTACCTAAATAAATTTAAACTCTTACAATTTGTTAATTAATGTTCTTTTACAATTTCTCTTAAAAGATTTTTGTTTTTATTCATGACCTTTACAATAAAAATACAACTAAAGCCATTGCATGGCTGCAGCTGAAACCACAATAGTTTCATTTAGAATCAAAAGTGCCAAAATATCACGAAACACAAAATGAAGTAGTAGCAAAATAGTTTTTGTAGAATACAAATTTTAACACTATCTACATTGCTACATCTATTCTACTTTAAAGCTGTTATTAAGAATACAAACATCTGTCAAAGTATTAATAAAAATGCACTAAAAGTTTATTCCAGAAGTCATGATTTCCACTCTTTGAACTTTCTTAAAGAAACTTTCTTAAGTCGCGACACAGTCGCCATTAAATCCGATTCTTTGCTCTCTTCATCACTCAAAGTTTCACCTTCTGAATGCACCTCCCTTTGACATTGCTGTTTTTGCACAGTGCTGGTCGTAACCGCCGTATCCTTCTCCGAGTTGACCTTTCCTCGAGGTATGGCTTTGCTCCGGGAATCCTCCCCGGTCTTGCTTTTCCACTTGGACGTCGTGGGGTCACTCAACGCCACTTGCACCGGCACTTTAATACTGTTTGTAGCCACACTCCTCGCTACGTTCAAGCCGCGACTAATCCGGTCCAATGTGGCCAGTCGAAGACTCGACGTGATCCGGTTCTTCCGAAGAGATGTCGGTGTGGCATTAGCTCTCTCTTGCATTATAAACCTCCCAATAGTCTGCCAATGCGACTGAGCGCTGTAGACATTTTCGTCGTCAGCAAGGGCGCGACTGGTACTATGACTCGTCCCTCCCCATTCCAACTCCTCGACGATGACGAAATTCATTGGGTCCTCCAAGCGGCGAGCCTTGACGAGGGCTTGGGCAAGCACGTCTTGCGCGCAAGCGTTCAGAGGGACTTTCAAAATGGCGTACGGGATTTCCGGTGATACGTTATAAATACACACGAGGAAAGTATCGTTCTCCTCCCAGGCGTTGCAGGGGGCCCCGTCGGACTTGCGAGCTTCGCGTTCTCGATTTGCAACACTTCGGATTGATGATAACCAGGCCCGACTGCTGGGGTCGTCACCCATTCGTTTGAGGATGAAACGACCTTCGCCCTTCCATTGGGACTGGGCTTGGAGAGGCCGCTCGTGCAGGTCTAAAATGCGTTGTGTTGCTGGCAAATTATGGTCTTTTTTCTCCCAACCACGGGCCACTTCTTCGACAAGAATGTAATCATTGATTTTGCTCGCTGGTATGTTGGCTTTTTGCAAACACAACAGGAGAACGTCTTGAGTTGTCGACTCTTGGGTTATTTTCAAAATTGTGTAAGGTTCTTCAGATACGACGCCGTACACCATTAGGAAAAACATGCGTCTTTTGACACATAGGGGAGTCCCGGAAATTCCCAAATAGGTATGGTCAGTGTTTGGGTCGACTTGGACTTCAGTTTCAGGTTGAGTTCTTTCCAAGCCGTCTCGATGCTCCGTATTTTCCAAACTTTCTTCTTCGACTCGTGAGTAGATAAATAGAGTTGACATGTGTAAATACTTGTTTTGGGGTGATCTAAGACGTAAATGTCGGTAACCTGGTCTTAGACATTTCATTGGTAGGATTCTTTGGGCAAGTAAATGGTTACTCGTAGCATCTATAACTGTGAATCTTAAAAAGGCCAAGTCCTGGAAATGGACTTTAAAATGGAACGTGTCGTTCCAAATCGGGTTTAGGGCGTTCTTCTGCACAACTTTGGTCTTCTGTTTGTTACAATCGACCGGAATTCCGATAATTTCAACTTCAACATAAGTACTAAGATTGACATTGCTCTGACTAACGTACTGTCCTGAAACTATATTGATCACAACCTGAGAGGAATGTAACCCATCGAATTCCTTATCCCAAGGGTTGAATCTCCGATACATCACATGGGACCTATCCCACATCACACTGGGTTTACTCACATACCCACATTTTCCATTAATTTCGAACATTGTAGTATTTAAATGCATGGAAGTATCATCAGTTTGGTAATTCAGTGCTGCCATTTGTAAACCAAAGGACCAGAAAATAACCGGATTGAAATTCGACGAGTCGATTCTCATTCCAGCTGGATACGTCCTCATTAACTGAGTCTGTGTATGGGCAACTACTCCCAGGGGTTGCTTTCTACAGAGTCTTTTCGCAGTGTTTTCATTTATTGATGAGCATTGATAACATGGTAAATGCACATTGGGACGCACTTGTTTCATCTCCGTTTCAAGAATCGTAGCATCTGACTCGTTCGAAGCCCCTCCTGTTGAACTTATATTCGACGCTGAACTACTTCCGGTCGTGACAATCGAACTTCCGGAACTTGACAAGACCGTCCTTTGACGCTGTTTCACCGAACTACTAGGACTTATCGTGTTGAGACCGCGGAATTTGATGGCTTGGACATAAACGACCATGTCGGAGAGTTCTTTAGATATTTGGCTGCTGCGTTTTTTTAGCTTGTCATCGGGGGCGGCACGTTTTTGCGAACTTGTTTTGGAGACGGTGTGAGGGACTCCATACGGGCGTGGGGATTCATTAGCACTGAGAATTCCGTGAATTGCTTTTTCTGCAAATAAGGCGAATGAGGGATTAGGTTCTGAAAGTAGGGAGAGTTACCATCGATATTGTCTTCGTCATCTTCATCATCGTAGTCGTCATCACTGAAGTCGTCATTGAAGGAACTACTACTGGTGTTGCTTATTATTGAACTGGTTCGGCCAGGGACTGAATGCCGGATCCCGGAACCAGGTCTATAAAAGGTAGGTATAAACAGAATTTGTGTTAACTTTGATCAATTGCTCGGGTTTCGGTTTCTTAATTAATTCTTAATTAATTAATCTTACCTGCCAGGCGTGGACATTGCAGAGAAACTTAACGGCGCAGGCACTTCCATTATTAACTTTTTATTTTTTATAAGAATTCTATTTTTTAATTGTTCTGGTGAAGGCAACGACGGTTCATCACTGTAGTCAGTTTCAAATAAGAAATTTGTAACTAACTTCTCCCCAAAAACTCTCTGAAAAAGTTGATTTAGAGATGGGGACTTTGTGAATGTGTTTAGTGTTACCTGAAACACGAGGGCCATTCTAGTTTGTTGCTGTAGAGAACAATGGTTTTCTATTGATAGGATCACAGGATAAGGAGAAGTAACAAAGGCATTTTTATCAATCGTCTCTACAACAGCATTGAAGGGTATTTTGGTGGTGAAAGTGTGTCCGTGGTAGATCATCGGAAAGCCGTCGTCGCCGTCCCAACAATCCAATTCGACGCATCTGCAGCCTGTCAATAAAACTTGACTGTATAACTCGACAGACGATTCGCCTTTGAGCTGGTGTCCCGTGAGGTAAGTGTTGTGAGACGACGCCACATAATACGTCGACATTGGCCTACCCATATCACTTTCATTAGGAACTTCTCGTTCATTGACAAAGGCGTAATTGTCCTTATCCATTAGGTATCTTGCAAAACCCTCAAAGGACAAGCAGTTCTGTGCTCGCAAAGTTGCGTCCGATTCGTGTCTCTGGAACCGAGCTTATCAGAGCGATTAGACCTCGAGGGGACCTCTTACATGTATCAGTGCTTTTACTTGTTCCTCTGTCCAAACTTCCATTTGTCTGGTTTCGAGAAATTTCGTAAAAGTCGACATCGTGATCACTTGCGAGTTGTTGGTATCAATTCCGGCGCAGTTGGTGAAGATGCTCGCCGCGGCGATCGCGTCGAAGATTTTCTTTTGCGAATTGACGACGGATCCTTCGAGTTCGGCTCGACTGTTGCGCGTTAATAAGCCTAATTTTTGCGGTTTCTTCGCTTCCACTTTTGTTTTGACACCGTTTACTTTTGTTGAAGTATTCACAGCCATGCTTCGATAAGATATTGCTAATTGTTCGAAAAGATCTCGTAAATCTTTTCGAATTAATAAACTAAACGAACGAAAAAGAGTCACGAAATCTACA